AAAAAAAGTCATTATCGTAAGAACATTCCAAAGACGGGAGCTGGTGTATAAATTTGTTTTTGAGTTGTCTGGAAATGGGAATGGACTGGACGTTACGCGAGGGATACTCTTGGGCGGAGGATAAGGAACACTGTGAGGAGTATGGTCGAATGCTGCAAGCGGACGCGACGAAGGTTTCGACCAGAGCGAAGAAAAGAGGTCTTCCTCAGGTGCTTTTTCTACTTTTTTTCATCTTTAACACGATTTGAAGAAGCCCATCTTAATAGTACTGATACTGTTGATGGAGTTGTAATGTGCTTTTCACTCCAAGTCTTTTTGAAGAGCTGAGTTAGTAATTTGAAGAGCGCCGCTAACTCGTTTTTTTAAAGGTGGTCTTCACTGATCTTCTTTTCTAAAACACATACAATTACAGTTGGGTACACTGGGTGCTGGAAATCACTACGCTGAAGTACAGGTGGTAGACGAGATCTTTGACAAACATGCTGCAGCCAAGATGGGCAATCGGCGAACTAGGTCTGAATCTTTTTTCTGCACTTGGATGTCAAAGATTGCCTAAACCATGACGTTGAAGGCCAAGTGGTAGTGATGTTGCACTGTGGAAGTCGTGGTCTTGGTCACCAAGTCGCCACCGATGCCTTGGTAGAAATGGAGAAAGCGATGGCCCGTGACGGTATCGTCGTTAATGACCGTCAGCTGGCATGTGCACGTATAAACTCCAGTGAAGGTAAGAATCTCGTCGAAAAAATTTTTCAATCAGAAAAAATGTTTTTTTTTTGGATTTTTTGTGCCACACAACATATGCTGGTGTGCGCAACTAACGATAAGTTAACTTCTATTTGTACATTCGTAGTGGCGTTTGAATGCGATGTGGCCTATACAATGACTTGCGGGGGCCAGCCGATGTACAAGTCAGTGTTTTTATCCTCCCAGACAAGTCTGGTACCAATTAACCGACCCCGGAGGGATGGAAGGCTTGGTTGGCCCGGGCGACTCACGACCCAGGATTTGATCCCCGGACCGCGCGTGGTAAGCGTGCCACTTGCCACTACACCACTTCCGCCCAAAGAACGACGTAGATAAAATAATAGGCTTATCGACAGCTGGATGGTTTGAATGATGTGGAATCATAGTGCCAGAGGTCTTCCCATTATGCATGTAATACTAGATATCGCATTGCGTGAGGTGCTTGGATGTGGCGCCAAATCTGGTAGAGCAACACGAGGCGGATAATGGAACGGAAAAGTGCTTGTCAACACATTGGCAGCCAGAAGTCTTTCGTGTTTCCGCGAAATGAGTCCTAATATTGAAACGCGCCTATACGGCATGTACCAAAACAACGAGAGCTCAATGCAGAAAAACGAGAGCTCAATGCAGAAACGGCTAAAACATCAGCTTGTCTCGAACAAATGCTGAATGGCCGTAACCAAGCAAGAATCTCCCTGTCCAGCTAGGGAGGACCAGGGAACGCCTTCGGCAAATTTCAATTTTCCACTGTAGAATCCGTAAATGAGGCTGAACCCAGATCTCAGATGCGATTCTCATCGGTGCTGCCCTCTTCAACGCTAACGCTCTCTCTCTCTGCTAAATGGCTAGAGACCTGCGGCAAGTGGGTAGCCAATCGGTGGGCGTATCGCGCCAGCGCCGCGGGGAGTGTCATGCTAGATCCCCGGGAGCATATCCTTCGCTGCGAATTGTGGGTCGTTCCATTAGCAAGTTTCCTCTTTTCGACCTTATCATGAAATCTTTCTTCAACAGGTCTTCAAGGCACGCAATCTCGCGCTTTACTGTGGCTCAATGATTGCATGGGTTGTCCTCTTTGAGAGGCTATCATTTCGTTCTTGTTCTGTTGTCACCCGCAAATCGGCGGGGTCTGTGACGGTACAGAGAGCGTAAGGTGAACTAGGATTGTGTGCCTCTCCTCGAATGAGTGTGAGACATTGTCTGGAGAGTTATGCTTGACTTCGAGGAGACGTTGAAAACATTTCAATGCACCAGGATATATTTCAAAGTGATAGTGTGGCAGTCCAGTATTGCGAGTGGTGCGAACGAATGTGTTGCATGAACGGTGACTGCGCCATTAGATTCTGGACCGCTGCGCTCGCGGGGGCAATGAATAACACTTATGCCAGCTTCAGATGTGCGGCCTAAGGGGCTGCTGCATAGGGCCCTGACTTCTTTTTTTGGGCAGTAATGCGCGATCGCTTTAAAAAGTACAGGTAGGGAAGCCCTCGGAATGCGAGGAACTCGGTAAATGGTACGTTCCACCTATCATTTCCCTGCTGGAATCACATCGAGTGTTTTAGGTTTGTTGAGGGGATGTATTTAAAGCGTATATGTGCAGCAGTGACTGTCCAGGCAGTTGTCAACTGCACGCTGGATTAATGGAACGCCCCTTAAGGAATCATTCTCAAATTTGGGACCTGCACTAGAACTTCGAGGATACGCTGCTGGTTGTAGTGATTGCGCCCCTTGGCAACTTTTCTGTCTGAGGGATCATCATGAACTGCAATGACTTAGTACTACCACCATATCTGAGGTTTCTCATCTCCTATCTCTTTTGTCAGAACGAAAAAAATCCAGTTTCATAACCCGAACCGATTGGTCACGTGTACAACCATAGAATTGTAAGCTGGACGCTTTTCAGGACAGGATTACTTGAAAGGAATGGCAGCTGCAGCAAATTTCGCCTGGGTGAATCGATCATGTATGACGTTCTGCGTACGACAAGCTTTCGCCAATGTTTTCACGTTGCAACCAGATGACTTGGATATGCAGGTGATGTTTGGAAATCCAAAACACAAGAAACGATGAGGTAAGCAAACCAGCCCTTTTGGCGTTTCGGCTGGGACCGTATGCTAAATGTTGGGGGGGATGGGGTCCCCAACGGTCGACGGTTTACTTCAACTCGGTTGGTACGATAGGAGACGTACTTCACAATTGAGAAAGAATGCAAGTATTTCCCGCGAAGGATTCTTTTAAGCTCCCAGTTAAAGTGTTCACCTGGAAAGGACGGTTTCGTTTTTTTTTTCGTCCCAGTAGCATTCACCTTGTCGCCCTGTTTGAGGCCATCATATCTCTAGGCACCTTCTCTTTGAGGGTGATCTGAGTGTAGCGCCTATAAGCCTTTGAAAGCAACAACCCCAGATAACGTTGTAGTAGCTCACGAGTGTAGGTGCTAGGGCCTTACTAAATAATCTGATGGCGGCTAATGTGAATTTATGGAAGATATACCTCGCATCACCTAGCATGCCGTCCAAGAGCAACGGTCAACTGGAAGGCCTCGGTGATTCTGCGTTTGTAGTGTTCTGCTGGGTAACTCTCGGCACGATGCACACTATTTATAAGTCTGCTGATTTCTTTCCTTCTAGTCCCGAATGAGCGTTTTGCGGTTGAACACTGCCCGTAAGCCCTTGCAGGGCAGCCTAGGAGTTACGGTAGCGAAGTCGAGACAGATGGGATAGATTCATTCAACTTTGATGCGCATATGTCCGCAAAAAGTAGCGGGGTGTAGGTGTTTTTTCTGCATAAGTGGGTTAGTGGGCTTGTACATGCGTGATTGTCTATTTGCTTGTTAGTGAATTCATACTGCCTAAAAACCCTCCAGAAAGACCGTGTCAAGCTTGAAACGTGTCGATATGGGCCGAGATGTACGGAACACACGTCAACTGGGCGTAGCTCAGAGTGGGCCGGCGTCGTGAACGGCTTCAAATTTCTATGCCCATCGAGCGCAGTTCCAGAACAGCCCATAGAACCGATAAAATGAGCTAGGAATATGCACTGGAAGCGCAGGGTCGTAACCATTCTCGGGGGGGGCCCGATGCCGGCGGACCGAAGGCCTAAGGCGGTACTTTGCGAATTACATAAATGCGGGTGTGGCAGCGAAGTCCGGCGAAGGGTAGAAGAGGAGTGATCATGGAAGGCTAGTACATATTACATGGACAAAGGTATCTGGAGCGCGTAGGACTTTAGCCCTCTTGGTGGAGGCGAGCATGGCGCGTGGTGTGTGAGGCGTGGTCGTGGTCGAAATATTTAGATTGGCGGGTCCCCTGAAAGACCGTGGAGGGGAGCAGAAACAGTGGGAAAGAGGGCAGCGCAGAGGGGAGAGCTCAGGTGGCTAATTGTGCAGTGGAAAGAGTAGCGAATAGAGTTTGCTAGTACACACTTCAGTGTCGGGGCTCCAAGGGCGAGGGGCGTGCAGGAAGCCACGGGAGAGGAGGGGTGGTAAAGATTAGCATAAGAAGAGGAGTGTCAGAGTGCGTGGAGTGGGGGTGTGGGGAGGGCATGGAAGGGGAGGTGTAGACTCTGCCCGAGCGGGACATTGAGGAGTGTCGGGGGGGGTCGCCGAGGACAGCCCAGACTAGGAAAAGAAGTGGAGAGGGACCAGGTTGATAGCAGAAGGAGGTGCTATGAGTTGGGGGTAATGGGAGGGGGGGGTGGGGGGTAGTACGCTGTTGCGGTGGGGGGATGGGATGGTGGGTGGGGAGGGTTGACCGACGTAAACGTGTTGATAGGAGTGGGCGGGCAGTACACCGAAGTGTGGTGTGTTGGGGGGGTGGGGAGGGGGCGGGCCGAGGCTAGGATGTTGAAAATGTGCGAGTGGAGATGTGCGGACGTGTGCTGTGGGAGCGGGGCGCTTCGAAGGGTGGTCGAGGTGGGGGGTAGTCCAGTAGGTTGAGGAATGCGCAGGAAGGACAAAGAGCTAAATTTTAATGATAATAGAATTCTGAACCGTATCTCAGCCTGCCATAAGTACCGATTAGGCGCGAAGAAGCATGTAAGGCTAAACCTTTCAGTAAATAACTTAGTAGAGTTTACAAGACTCTCACTTGAATAATTGTCAATCTATATCGTGTTATTAAACGGATGTTAAGCGACAATGTTTAGATGATTTATGACGTGTCTCATAATGTAGCCAAGATGGAAGAACATTTGGTCGACGGTCGCCCAACGCAACTGTGCGTTCATCGTAAAGGGGCTACTCGAGCTTTCCCACCTCACCATCCTCTTTGATCCCCATCGATTATCAGTTGACAGGTTTGTATTGTACAGCAGTTTTGAATCTCTCGTTTTGAAGCTTAAAAGTTCGATTTAAGGACAACCAGTATTGATTGGAGGGAGTATGGGGACATGTAGCTACGTTCTCACGGGAACTGAACGCGGCATGGTTGAGGCGTACGGCACAACTTGCCATGGAGCAGTACGTTTAGTGTTCTGTGGTTCAGGAAAAGTTATAGGAATTTCTGAAATTCCCTTTACAGGGAAGAGCCTTATCTCGGTCGAAGTCTCGTCAAAAGATTCCATGGAATGAGGTCATTGATAACCTGAAGAAAAAAGGAATATCAATTCGTCTAGCTTCGCCAAGCTCATTATGCGTAAGAGGCTTAGATTTATTAATACATAGTACTAACCACAAGTGATAATCCCAAGTTTTCGGTGGACTAGAGAAATCGGAGGTCTTTTCTCCTGGCTTCCTTTTTTTGAGGAAAGGTTTACCCTAAGGTAGAGAAGCGGGTGACGGAAAGTAATTCTAAAAGTCACGAGTTGGATTTCCGAACAAATTTCTCGACTGTATGAGACATCACAGTAAATTAACACCCCGGCATGGTAAAATATTACTGAGATATTTATCAATGAGCTGAAGTGAGCTCAAGCTTTTTATTGCCGCCACGACGAAACTCTGTTGGAAGCCTTTATGATTATGAAACTTTTTGACCTGTGGTGTAATCCTCTGTGGTGTAATTTTCTTTTCAAATCTTTACTTGAAATTCAGGCTCCTGAATCATACAAAGACGTCACGGACGTCGTCAACACTTGTGATATTGCGGGAATCAGTAAAAAATCGGTGAAACTCCGACCGATTGCGGTCATTAAAGGCTGAATTACATCTCAATAGAACGAATATGGTATGCTTGGTTTGTGATCTTTTTGTTATGTTGTAGTCATTAAAATCGGCGAACTTACTTCTTGTTGCTGGTCTTTTCAACCACGGGATTGTTAATATTGCTGTTTTTCTTTATTTTTGCATGAAAATTGTGTCATTGAACTGCTTTATCATATTCTTCTCTCAAATATATCAATAAATTTTCCAGACCAATTCCTGTCTTAGCGGAGACGAAAAACGACGGGTACTCCGGGAAAAGACCCCGTGTAGAGTCGTTGTCTTGCTGGAAACAGGGAAATAATAGAGGAATAGTTGAAGCCCAAGCAAAATATGGGAAACTATGGAAAATGAAAGTGGTAGCAACGGGAATTAAACGACATACCTTCGGATCGAGATCAATTTTATTAAAGACAATAGCAGAAGGTCGATCAGAAAGTCCGCTTTGATATTCTTCTAATTCAGCTCGTAACAGATCAAACTGCTCTCGTAAATCACCTAATGTGATATCCAACACGTAAAATAGGCACCTTAATACGTTTTTTCTATTTGCCTCTTCGACCAATATTATTGCTTAAGTACCTGCATCTTTCAATGTGCTTAAGGAACGATACACCAAGGCCGCGATCCTCATGAGCTCCCTCAATGAGTCCAGGAATGTCAGCTACTAAAAAATTTCTTCAAAAATAGGGTACCCGACAGGAGGCCCGTCGCGCGGCAAGAAGGCAGAGTCGCGGACGAGTCGCAGCGCGTGATGTGCGATGTAGGACGTACAATGGAACATTCTATTTAACTTGACGCGAAATCCTACAGTACGCGCTGCGACTCGTCCGCTGACTCTGCCTTCTTGCCGCGCGACGGGCCTCCTGTCGGGTACCCAAAAAATAAGACGGAGAAGTGACAGAAAAGTTGCTAAAACATATTTCAGCAGCTTAAATTCGTCCCTATTCTGAAGTTTGGGGCAAAAACAAAAAATTCTTGCTGAGTAGATAAAACAGACGAAAGAGCGTAGCAAGCGAGCGACAAGACGCTCGCCGACGCCTTCTTCTATAACTCCGCTTTCGCAGGTACCCACTGCATAGAGCAACGGCAATCGGTTTCAGTACAAGTAATAAGCCTCAGCTCCCTCGTCGTGCGCTTTCGAGCCGTGGAAGGGACATATGTTTACCGTTGTGAATGGACTCTTCTAAACACTGAAAGTTGACTCATCCAGCTTATTCTTGAAATGCACCCTCACCTGCACCTGGCAGTGCCATTATGTTACGCCTTTATCCTAATCAATGCGCTCTCCCAGGAAAATGAGACCTTTTTCCATATATGTAGGCTAAAATGTGTAGTTAGAGAGCTAAGGAGTCGAGTCGTGGAGGCTACGAAAATCGGATTTAGAATGTGCGTGCTTGGGGCTCACCTCTGCTCTCTCGCCCCGGCGTTGAGTATTTCCCCTCTGGGAGTTCACACAATCAGGAATCAAAATCAAAAGGTTTGCACTCGTATTTTGACTTCAGGGTCTGGATCGTAATTAGAACAAAACGGTTTGAAAAATGTCCCAAAACGTGCCTGAAATTTGTTCAAAATCATCGTAGTGAACGATTCCGATGTGTGGTTTCAGCGTTGTAAAGGGATATGAGGCGACCTTCGGCTTGGCACGTGAAATCGCGCGAAGCAGAGAACTAGAAGATGAAGATATGAAATGTTCTACACCATTCAATACAGGTGCAAAGTTTCTTGGCGGTTGAAGTAAGTTTAAAAATGGGTTAAAATAAACTGCTGGGATGGATGGAGAAATTTTTACGAAACTAGAAAACGCAAAAGTCGTCTCAACGTCGCTGGAATACGCAAAAACCTGTAACTAGACCATCGCAATATATTTTACTCATCGCTGTGTTTATGCCTACCGGCAGTTCGCTAACCATAAGTGCCAACAATGTAACTGGGCTACAAAAATGTAAACTGTGAAACCAAACAATAACGAAAAACTAACGACTTTCCAGCATTCGGGAATCCCACAAGACCCGCAGTGGCGATCACACGCATTTCCACATCGTAAACCATCTATAACGACATTGTATTCATGTCACTGAATATTTCATGAACGGACCGGTACATCAGATTAGTTCAATTCCCGGTAGGCAAATTAGAAATCATCACACAACGACATCTCATCGAGGCTATGCAGTGGGACTAAATTAGTAGGAGAGGACTCAAAGCATTAAATAAAGGTCGTGAAAGTAAAAAGCACGGAGTGAAGTGCGTAGATGGGTAATGTATCGAAAGTTTCCAAATGAAACAAGTCCACGAAATCATGAAGCAACAGGTTGCTGAATTTCAATTATCCTTCCTATGCTACGGACGGTTTGGGCTATTTGGTGAAAAGTGACTTGCAGAACAAAGACTGAAAGTGACTGATTGCACGAACCTCCTCACCCTTGCCGCCGATCTCTGCCTTATAAGGCTTCCGGACTTCATTGAATACGTAAAATTGATTGCCATGACCACCAGCCCCGCCACGTGCTCCAACAAAAACCTGAACAGCTTACTCATATTATAACGACGAAAAGAACCGACCAAAAAGAGCAAAATCACACCACATCGCCTTCTTTCAGCAATTCAAACACAATGGTGCCGTCGTTCTTAAAAAGCGTGCCAAGCGGTACTGGAATCTAAAGGTTCAGCGATAAACAATCTGTAATTAAACTTGGATACTCATAAAAACCTCTAAGTGTTCAGCTGATTTGCCATGACACGACTTCGATCCGCCAAATTCACCTCTTGCAGCCTTCTCTATAGATCGAAGATGGGAAAGATCCTTCGCGTGAAGAGACGCTAGAAGAAATGAAACTTAGGCAATCAGTGATGTTGCGGATGTGTGTATGCAAACCAGCGAGGCGGAAGTATCGAAACAAGCATATCTTCAGCTACCTTTAAACAAAATGCCACAGTGCCGCGTCACCACCATCAGGGCCGCCAAATGGTTCCGATATCCCCTGAAGGTGAACATAACGAGCAAAATAGAAATTATTGGTTCAACATGTGTTCATTAGAATATCACTCAGTACTCCACCTGAAAAACGAGACCATTCCGTCTCCACCATTCCCACCGATGCAGCGTACACGGCGATAATCGACGAAAGTAGCGGCCTATAAGGTAATTTTTACTGGGAGGAATTCAGAGAGAATGTAATCAGCGTTCGTTGCTTGCGACCGCTTTGAAGTTTAATGCAAATTCACGACTAGGATAAATTCAGACCGACTTCCAGTTCTGGTCAATCGGGACAATGCGGCGATGTAGAATGCCACGAAGAATGGTCCAGAGCGCGCCCCACCTTTTTGTCACCATATTTATCACCGACGATGACTGTAGCTCACCAAACCATATGGGCTATCATTGGGAACTAAAGGAAAAGCGCGAGTTGAATCTGTTCAAGGGATGAAGAACCATAAACAAATGGCGCTGCGGCTTTCCTCGAATTCACAAGTAACAGGCGACAGTACAGCTCATGCGTCGCGCACGACGCGACTCGCTAGCAATGAACGCTACATAACAGTGAAATTCACATACTTCTCCATCGGATCTCGCTTTCTTAGGAAGAATCCGGCTTCTTCAACAGTTCTGGATGAGATGACAGCCTCTTTCCACATGTATCCATCAATATACACCGTGCGTGAAGCATTCTGGTAACGCAAGTTACGTTGAATTTCGGTGATTCAATGAAAGCGAATAAGGAAAAAACGGAAGGTAAGGCATATCCTGATTCAAAACAAACAACATGATTAGTTATAATGTTTATTTTAATGACTGGAGCCACTCGAGTTGAACAGTTTTGATTTGGCACTCGATGTCAAATTCCCTGAACAAAAAAATCACTCTAGAACATGCAATAACTCTAGATCCGACCTTCAAAGATCAATTCCGAATCATACAATCCAATACACACTTTGAAACATTGTAATAATACACCCTTACGTTAAATATTATTACATGTGATAACAAAAACGCACAGATTCGCATAAAAACACTATAAGCCATGACCTATAAAATTACCATGTACCAAAACATTTATACAACCAAAAGTCAAATAATACTTCTCTGCTAAATAATAATAGAATCACATATATGCATGCAAACCAGTACTAAAAAATCTTCTGTAAAAAATATTTAAAAAATTGAAGAAAGAGGGGAGATAGATTTGAACTGTATTCTCACGGCAAAGTGACTTGATGAGAAAGGAGGCAGCCCTCAAAAAGTCTGACTTTATCTCCAACTTGCAATCCCATACATAAGCTAAAGTTACAGTTCCAGAAAGACCTTACGAGTAATTCACCAATGACGACACTTTAGAGGCCCTAAATTCCGACACGGGTAGATAAGCCGAAAAAAGACTTGACAAACAATCTCGTTGGCGTCGAGTTTAAGAAAGGACGGCAGGCACATTTTGCTATGCAGGGGTCTACGACTTTGGTTAGCCATATCCATTTGCAAGTGATTATTCGAAATTTCCACAGCAGCAGAACTGGGTCTGATTTTTTGTAAATTATTCAAATTATGGCTCAGAAAACGAGATTAAAGCGTGATAGGAATACAAACGATAAATGTTATCTATCACAGATCGCACCTCACAATGGAGTGAGGAAAAATTTACAAATAAAGCCACAATGAATCACAAGGCAGTATCGAGTAAGACTCGTAAAAAAATCTTATAGCAGTTTTCAAAACCTGCCAAAATGAAGCTTGAGGTGAAACTGGGGCCCGGAAGTGTAGCATGAGATAGAACACGAACACTGATCAAAAAGTTGCAATAATGGATCCGTTTGAAAGGCAAGTGGACAGGTCGAACCAATATAAAGCATTGAGTTCCATGCTGTAAAACATCTTCTTCAAAAACCGAGAATGAGGTTCAGCTGGAGACACAATTATTTTCAGTTTGAAAACTGGTAATCTATTTTTAACCTATTAACACATTCACGCCGATGGCAGCCCATCGACCTGCCAATTGCTTGTATGGCAATTTTGGACATTTTTTATCAACAAAATAACCACGGACCAACACATAACTTCAAACAACATGGTTCACTGGAAAGATAGTTTTCACCCAGTTTATTCTTTTTCCTTTCCATTCCCATACAAATGCGAATAAAAGAGTATTAAAAGTGGATATAAAAACTCTGTAGATGGTGAGATCATGACTTCACTAGAAGATTTGAAGAAAAAATGTTTTGATGTGCAGTGAAAGCTAATATATTTTGCCTTTTCGTCTCCATTACACGTCTTTTTGACCGAAATTCTGCTAGTAGCGCCTCTGGCTCACCTCCAAATACTGACAATCACTGGAACTACTTCGTACTATTCGTGTTTTCGCTGGATTTACGACACAAAATGCCACTGAGGTGAGTGGCAGCGGCGCTCGAAAAAGCGCGTAAGGCCGGTGTCAGACTTTGCGAATCCAGCGATTCGCTAGCAAAATCGCGAGTTCCCAACGAGCGATGCACCACTGGATTCGAGGAGGGATGAGTAATCGGACCGAGGCTGGTGCACAGCGATTTCGGAGCGATGTGGTATGTAGCGATCGGCGATGTTGAAGAATGAGCTGGAGCCCTACTCTCAATTCGCAGCGTCACACGGGCGCGGGCAAAGTTTTCTTCTCGCGTCACGCGGGACATGGGAGAAGAGATCCAGACAGCGCGTGGGGAAGTGGCAAGACAGTGAGGGCGACGCGCAGGGGTCCCAGCCAGTGCCTAGCTGCACGGACTGGCCGGAGTCGCTGGGTGACATCGTTTCGAAACGCTCGGTGCACTTCAGTTGCGATCACTGCACAACGTTGAAAAAGCTGCGTGGCATCGCTGGTACCCGCCATTCGCTGGATTTGCGTCTCTCGCCCAGTCTAAGAGTAAGGTTTCAGAGTTACCAAAAAGCGGATAAGGGCCACCGTCTGTGAGGTGTCAAGCAATTGGTGGCGCTGAAAGCAGTAATGATTGGTACCGGCAGGTCAATCACGCTTCAGATGAAAGCCAATTTCACAAAAAAGATGAACTAACCAAAGCCCTACTGAAGCCAGTTCGCTGCTAAGAAGGTAGCCTTGCTTCGAGCTCTCTTTCGAGAGTGAGCCTCAGCATACGGCACTGATCATCAGTAAAACCATGCTTCCTTCCCAACTCTTTTGCTAAGCGTGCAGCGTTGTCGGTCTAAAAGTGCATATGCTGACAGATTTTGTAAAGAAGCCTATAAAAGCAGAAGAAGTCAATAACATACATTCATTACAGCAACATCCACCGAATCTCCACTGTTTTTCTTCAAATTCAGTAAGAATATTGGTTTCGGTGCGGAGGACCGCATGGAATCTTGTCCTGCAAACAAAGATGAAAAACTTGCCGACAATAATGGCTAAACTCAACCAGTTAGGCTTGAAGGTGTGGGCTCTTCTTTGGAACGCGCTTGTATTCGCTTTCGAACCCTACAAAAGACAGCTACTGTACCCTTTTTCATTAACCGACGTCATAGTTAGTCGGAATCGCTGGATCGAGCGTTGCGCCAGCGTACAACAATTTCGGGTACCCCCCAGGAGGCCCGTCGCGCGGCAAAATGCCGATTCAGCGGACGAGTTGCGCGCGCGTATTAGGGAAATCGCGTCAAGTTAAATAGAATGTCCCATTGCACGTCCTTCATCGCACATCACGCGCCGCGACTCGTCCGCCGACTCGGCCTTCTTGCCGCGCGATGGGCCTCCTGGGCCACGGAGTTACCCGACATTGCACAGGCGATCGATACTTTGTCGACCAGCGACTCAAAACTGTTGAAAGTGGCGGGAGACCAGCGTTTGAAGGAAGGCCCGCCACTTTCAAACAGTGTGGTCCTTTAAAGTGGACTTCCTTTAAACGTTGGGTCCCGCCACTTTCAAACAGTGTCGAGTCGCTGGTACATCGTTCGACTCGCTGGTGCATCGGTCGATTCGCTGGCGTTCGATTCGCTGGCGCAACGCTCGGATCCAGCGATTCGCAAACTATGACACCGGCCTCATCCAGAAAAAAAAACGTTAGAAAACGAGTTCGCTTTGGGTTTTACAGAAAGATATGCATTTTCAGCTGACATGCTTACCCTCTCTCTTAGAGTGTTCTCCTCCACTTCGCTTACAATTGCTGGACATGGATTTTTCTGAAACCAGGGAGCCTTTCCCACATATCTATATTATAAGAAATAAATATAGTGATCTACGGAATTAAAAGTATACCCGATCGGCCATATCCTTCTTAGCAGATGGAAGTTCGTCTTTCCCTCGAAGGTGAGGCGGGACGTAAAGCCTACATTCGGCAGGCGGAACAGGCTTTTTTCTTTTACCTTAAACAATTTTCGGGTCGAGGACATTCGACTGTTTACGAAATAGAAAGGAGAAACAATGAAAACATTGTTACTTTCACGAAATTTCCGTTGCACTTCGACTCTTCTTTCCTCCATCACCTTATGGTACTCATCCCTGAAATAAAATGAAAATCTGTAGGATAATAAAGACATGTGATATTTATGTCACTGACCATAAAAGTCGTTTTGTTGGAATTCGTAGCAGATGTTCTGCAACGGCATATCGGAGACAAAACAAACCTGTCAATTTGATTTTTGACGATCGACTTGATAAAACCATGACTCATGTCCAGACCCCGAAACCGGTCCATGTCGTGACTATCCATCTTCTGAAACAAAAAAAACATGAGAGTACAGAGAAGAAGAACAAAAAAAGCCATAAGAAGAGCACGCGATGTGAAAAAATGAGAGCGGAAATCTGTTCGTGGAAGAAAAGATGTTCAGTGAGATTGCAGAAAAAACACGGCTTCAAACAAATTTGTCTCAGAAGTTTTGTCAACCGTGAAGCTTGGTAGTTATGTGCAGTGCTGGAGTTCTTACACAAGCACACTATCACAGCATCTCTAGGTGCTAACTTAGTTAGGGGGGGGGGGGCAACCGCCGCCGCGACGCGCGGATCAGTTCGCGTCTCTTAGGGGGAGGCTAAGCGGAGCCAGCGAGAGTGTAGCCAGTTCAAGGGGTGCGGGGCAGGGCAGCCTATTCAGAATCAGATTGGTCTTCTAGCAACAGCCGGAATCTCTCTTCCCGGGCAAGCTTATTTCCCTCACCTCTCCTTATCCTCCCCCCTCCTTCCACCGCTCTCCAGCTACCACCGCAGCATCTTGTGGAAAGACCGAAAGTGTGCCCATAGGTGTTTATAAGTATAGCCACTGAACGGTGTCATCAAATACAAGACCATCGCAAAACATTGGAGGGATTGTCCTGCGAGTCTACTCAATTTGTCGCATTTCGTTAGTCCTTAACCCATAACGGACGGCCAGTGTATTTGTTGCGTGCGCCACCATGTGGCGCACGCCGCCACCCAGGGTAGGGTTTATGTAGGCTTATGTGAACAGCAGGGGTAAGACGGGGCTAAAGTAGGTGTCGGAGTCTCATCATCCGAAAAAAGAGATTTCCGTTGACGACAAGTTCGTAGCCCGCCTTTCCGCTCTAAAACTAGGGTGCAAAGAATGAATGGAAGCTGTAGGTGACATTATCGAAAAATGCGAAACAACAACCCCGAGCAAGGATGTGGCTATATTTAGGGGAAGGGGTCTCGGGACGTGCGAACCATGGGTAAGCCACCCATCAAATAATAAACTTATGTAAAATTACAAAATGTTGTAAGGTTTTTGTCAAAAATCCAGCCGTCCAGGTCCTGGGAAGATATGTTATTCCACATTGCTGAGAGTATATATGGGTATATTAAGATTGCTAGAAACATTCCAAAAACAAAAGAAATAGTCGTGCGCCACCTTGTGGCGCACGCCGTCCGTTATGGGTTAAAGGAGGAATTCACGATTAGAATGAGGGTCGAAGAAAGGGAAACTGACCTAGTTGAGGGACCCACGGACCTCCTGAGGGGTGAACTGACGCGCAATTCGCATGGAAAAATTTGACCTCGGCGACCTATCATGCCTCAAAGCTGGCGGGTCCGGCGATCTCCGCCCACCGATCATCTGATCACTCGCCGTAGTTCAATACGTGGCGAGTGATTAGATAGCTGAGAGAGCGTAGTGTTGAAGAGGGCACAGCGATGAGAGTCGCATCAATGCTCGAATCAACGGGCAAGGAAGGGGTACCATTTCTCGGGTTCTGGGCCGTTTCTCATGGTTCTTCCTTCTTTCGTGTACCACTCACCATCCCTAAGTTAATTTGAAAATGGGTTGCTTTTCATCGTGAATGTCTTGAAGGCAGAATCAGGATTAAATTGATGGGGTGATTCCACTCAAATGTGAAAGTAGGGTGGAAGGTGGACCGCCAGTGGAGAAAAAAGGAAAGAAAATCCTGAAATACACAGGAAATACGAGCATTTTGCTCCATGCTGTGGAGATGTTAAAAGACAGGCAGGGAGATGAGAGATAATGCAGATCACCAGTTTAGTGGTTTATATAAAAGAAGGATAGAATATAGTGCTTCAGGCTGATGAGTGGTTTAACTGCAAAATGAGTTAGGCCAGGGCTTTAATATAGACGGCTCTTTATGATCGAAGAAACGCTTCAGGATGTGAAAGGATCAATTGCAATAGATCACAAAAGGAGGCTATTACAGGACATTTATTTATTTGTTATAAATGCATTCAAGCATGTGAATAAGCACGTAAGAATCTGCACTAGTAAAGTCAAACAAGAAATGGAGCGAAAGAATGATAGCAGGCGCTATCGCAGGATATGGGGGCACTGTGGTGGCAGTGCATTTAAAACGCGTAAAACATGTCTTTTTTGTTAAAAACGGGACTAAGCCTTAGGCGGGGTGAGAGACTCCAGGTGCGTGGGCCATTTTCATTTTCCCCGGAATTCCTGCTCATCCTGGACTTGGTCCTTGAGGATGCCCCCGTATATTGTGATTGCGTCAGATAGAAAACAGCAAAGTTCATGAAACTAAAATCTCCTTACTAAAAGTGCATTGAAATTCCTTGAGATTCACGGCGAACATTTAACCGTATTCATTTACAAGGCCTTTAAAAGAGAAGATGCTGACAGAAGGGCCAGGTTTGCCTTTGAATGCAGGCTGCTGTCATTTAAGAGCTTGACAAAGCGTTGACACAACTGATGACTGAGAATTCTATAGTTATAAAGGCGGCCGAAGACAATAATCCAGTTCGAGGAAAACTGCTGGTGAATGAGCTGGCAAGCGAGCAAATGGTGGTGGTGGCCATATGACATCGAGGAGGCTGTCAGGCTAGCATACGGAAAAAAGCCACTTTAAGGTGGCCGGTTTATTTCGACTCCTCGTTTATCATCCTCGCGACAATGGTGTTGAATTATGCTGGGCGAAAATATAATTGGAAACCAGTACGAATTGTCTTCTTCAAAGTAATGTGATCCGATGACTAATGCTGTCTTCAAAAACTCGCGAATTAGTCAGTACTTCAACCCATCCTGCAGTTTGCAAGGTATTTTAGTTTGGAGTGGTCAAAGATATGCTCAGCGCGAACTGCGTAGGCCGGCTTATTAAAGGAATCTTGCGCGGAAAAATCATGATTCTATTTCAGCCATAAATCACTGGCTTGAGACTCATTATCCACGATAATAGTGAAAAGAACTGAAGTATTGCTTTCGTTTTGATTAGAAATTCGAAAACTCGAAAAGGCTGCTACGCGTTCGAATTGCCCACGGACGTCTTTCACGAATGCTGGCGACGGGGATGCTCAAACTTGGTTCTTGGAGTGCATTCACTAGAAGCTCTTTCTGGCCTTCTGCTTCGTTGCATTCACATCTTACACTTCTACTCCATCCTATTCTATCGATCGATTTGTCTCTACTCTCCGAAATCGCGCGCTTTAACCCGATTGGTAGGCGG